GGAGTGCTCATCAGCCATCTGTTCATTGACTTCCAAGCATCTATGGAATGTTGGATGTTCAGTGCTGAACAAGGTCTGTTCAGTGCTTGGGATAGCGTTGCACAGGAAGCCATATGCAGCAAGGCTTTTACAGCACAAAAAAACTCAAGAAGCCCAGCAAAAGCTAATGGGCAAAACACTTGCTGTATCGTCAGTGCGACAAGTGATGTGGAGGGAAGTTGACGTGCCCTGAACATCGCTTTGGATGAAAAGGCTTTATCTGTGACGCTGGTGAGTTTCTCCCTGCAGCTCTACCGCACACCGTCACTGCAGAAATCAAACTGTTCCTGAGCTTCAGTTTAATTATACATACACGTCTGCCACAGAGGTGAACATCATTAAAGGTTCTGTGGTTTTGGCAACGCCTCCATTAGTTACTTGTGATTTTACAGTATCTTAAGAGCTTTTCCAGGACTCAATGCAAAATAGTGAGGAAATTTGTTTATCAGGTGGCTGGAAAAAAAAACAATAGAAATAGAAATATAGCAAAAAACATATACATGGCAACAGACCAATAACCAAAGTCTGGTTTTGTTCTACTGACATAATGTAATAACACAAAATTCAGGATTTTTACTGAAAAAAAAAGAAATAAATCGGGACTCTATCTAGCAAATGTTCTAAATCCTGTCTGATAAGCTGCGTTTACCAAACTGAACTTTCCAACAATAAATACTGGCTGAAGTGTAAGGCATGTGAAATCTGTAAGCAAATTTTATGACAAAAACATACTTAGATTTGTAGTTAGAAGAAATAGTTTCAGTGAGTGTGATGTGATTTGTTTTTCCTTATAGGATATCTTCATCAAAAAGCAGTTCAGTAAACTGAAGTTGGAATTTGCCCTGATCTGAAAAACGAAAAAAAAATTTTCCCCAAATACATTTGAACACAAAGTCTGTTTACTGTTACTGGTGTTTTTTAGTAAAGTTACAACATAGAAACCCTCATCACAGCTCTGATTTACAGGGAAGCTCATTTTGGAAGGTGGTAAATATAATTTAAAAAGCAATGTCAAAAATAATTTTTCTGACACTGCTTTATGAGAAAATGTAACTCTGATTTATAAAAGCGTATGGTTTTTACTGTACCTCAGCTGATTTATTTAAAATGAAACAATTAAAATTTCAATAAAAGTGTTGGCCACCTGCTGCGGTACCTTATTACAGTTTAAATGGCCGACATTGAAAAGTAAATCTTTATACTCTCAAATCTACTTTTAGAGAAGTATATGAGGTTACGTGTTTTACACTCTCATGCTTACACATCACGTTCCATTACCCTGAGCGGTGATCATAGTGTTTCCCTGCTAGCGTCTGGCTGAGTGGTGCTGGTTGCTCTTTGTCAGAAGCCAGTAACCCCACTCTCCTTTCCGAAACTAATGCAGACCTGTACTGCTGCCTTTACAAGGAGTGTTAATAAAGACTTATCTAAAACTAACAGAACGATACAGGAGCCTTCAGAAAGAGAGCCACAGCTTACGTGGTGAAGCTATTACGAGAAGGGACGGCTGTTATGCACATGGGTGAGCAGAAAGCCGCTCATGGGGATAGCAGAGTGAGTGAAGTAGTTTTAGTGGATCTAAGTTGTCTTTTACTCTTTTAAATTTTAAAAGTGTATGTGAATATGGAGTTGGAGAGTATGTATATGTATATGTATATGTATATGTATATGTATATGTATATAATATTCTCAGCTGCTCAGGTTTTTATAGAAGACATCACATGTCGGATAGTAGGGGGTTAGGAGTTTGAGGAGGAAGAGGTGGAAATCTGGAAGTGGGATAAGGAGGTTATAAGAGCTTATCCAGTATGTGTGCCTAGTTAGATGTGAGTAGAATAGAAGGTTGAGCAGTATTAGTACTGTATCAATGCTCAATAGAAGTTGAAAACTGCACTCGTTGGAGAACAAATTTCAGTCCTACCTGTAAATCAGTACTGGATTGATGTCAGTTTTCCGGCAACTGTCATTCAGGTGGGGTCCCACTGTCTCTGGTGGGGAATGCTCACAGCAGGTAATGAATCAGTGCCAGAAAGTCAAGGGAAAATGTGGTGTGGTGAAGTGAGGTCAAACTATGTGAAAGTCCACTGCTACTTGTTGCCAGCTTTAAATACACATTCTTAAGATATGTTCTTCAGGTGAGCTTCTGAGCCTCAGTTTTCTCCATGTGTAGGATTTGGTCCCGTACTTACACGGGACAATATTTGAAGGTGAATTTTAGAAGGGAGCATGCAGAATACACAGGAAAGTGCATTTTGCTTTAATGATTTTTCAGGTGAAATTTCTGTTACACTTACAATGTTTTACACGTGCATTATATATACTCTAGAATTCTTGACTGTGCAGCATTGGTTGTGTGTATTTAAATACCAGTGATAATTCTGGACTTCACAACAATTAACCGTAATTAGTCTCATGTTGAATAATTGATAACATTATACATTGTCTAAAGGTCAGTTTTGTTTAGATTGGGAAAAGGGTGTTTAGTTTTGCTAAGAATGCAGATGTTATGTGAGACAACATTAAAATTGCCATGAAGTACATGAAAGATGTATGATAGGGTTTGCTTTATGAAACTAGACTTTCATCAATTTAGTTTAGCACGTAGTCTTTGACTTAGGTGAGAGACCATCTCATCTTACATGAAGTCTTGGTCTAATACCTGAATTTAAATCTGAAGAATGAATTTCAATAATAGTTCCAAGGTTTGTTACTTTTGGAGATTTTAGCTTCTAACATGCTTTTGTACACATCTGTATATCCAATACTCTTTTAAAATCTTGCTTTGGATCTTTTACTTCCATGACATCCTATTATCTGTTAGTTTTCTTGACATAATTTCATGCTATGTGAATAAATATTACCTTTTATTTGTTTTGAGTGTAGATGTTGTCATTTGTATGTTGCAGTCTGTGCCCATAGCCTCCAAGCTAAATATAAGTCCTTGTTTTCCCTGATTGGGTGAATAATTGAATTTTTTTAATTGAGAAGTTTTTTAAAAAATCTTCACTTGATATGTAATTATGTATTTGATTTAGAAATACTTATTATATTTTTAGTTGATAGTAAAATTTTCTGATAACTCCAGCAAAACTTATTTTTAGGCAGAAACAGTAAATAAAGGGGAAAAAATGACCTTTCAGTTTGACCTGGAGTAATTTTTGCTGACAATGTTATGGGAGGTGCACCAGTACCAATGGGGAGGGAACGTTACCTCTGCCAAAATTTTCTAAACACCAAATCAGGGTAGTGAGTTGATTTGAGATATCTTTCAGCAAACCTCCTTTCAAGTTTCAAGTCTTATCTTTAGCTCCAAGGAGAAAAATGCTTTTTAACATTCACACTTATTAACTGAACAGGACAATAGCAGGTAATAAAAAGGTAGCCATCTACCATCCAAGAAGTTATTAAATAAGTTTCTACTACAAAATTTTTAATACTGAAGGTGATGTACGAGCCAGGTCTACACAGGATGCCTGTTATCTCAGCTTGAGTTTGCAGATGGAAAGAAATCTACTTGTTAATATAGCAGTTTTTATCCAGATACTGTAGAGTCAGTAAACATAAACCTTTCCAGGATTACTTTTCCCAATATACTTTTTGTTTAAAAACATTATCGGATTATGCATCGGCACTCCAAAACCACCAGTGTTTCTCTGCAAATTACTCAAGTGCTTTTTCACTCCAAGATTTTTTCAGTCTAAATGAATTAGATATCATGGCAGAAAAAATTATTTCATTATCGCAGAATTCTTCGAACATTAAATACTATGTATTCAATAATA